AAGACAGCCTCTTAAGCCCTAGAGACGGTCCAAGCGTGGACTCAAGAGGAAGAGCATGAACCGAAATTTCGATTACCTCGCCCCAAGAGGCTCCCAGGAGGCCTTCAGATGGTGCCACGCACGAGGCTCCAAGAGGACCCCAACAAACCCCCACGACGCCCCGGAGGAGGCCTTCAGAGGGCGCCACGAGGCTCCAAGAGGTCCCCAACAAACCCCCACGACGCCCCAGAAGGCTCCAAAACGGCCCACAAGAGGCCAAACAACGGCCCCCAAGAGGCCCCCGCGAGGCCTCCTTCGACATCCCCCTGACACTCACGGCTTCCGACCCACTACCCAGGCACGGTGGCGAGATGCGTCGAAGGCCAGTCCAGTCCTCCGTGTCTTTCCCAGCTCCTATATTTTTTGTTTTGTGTTCTTTTTGGCTGTCCTTCGGGTGTTTCAGCCTCATGTGGCGTACCCTGGAAACTTCCACGACGATTCCAAGACGGCCCACACCGTGTTCCCAGAGCCTTCCGGGAACATGATTGTCGCCGCACGTCCGACAAGGAGACTAAAGTGGTGGAGGAGGAGGAGGAGAAGGAGGAGGAGGAGGAGGAGGAGGAGGAGGGTCCGCGCCTGCGCCATCCAACGGGACACCGGGACACTCCAATCTAGCGTAGCGTTGCTTGGGCACGGACCCGCGGCACCGCTCCGAGTGGACTCGGTGTCGGGGGTGCTGCTTGCAATTGCCGCTCTCCTCTGCGATGCCCCCAAGAAGTTCCCAGATGTCCCCACACGTCATATGTATAAGAAGGTGGAGCAGGAGGAGGAGGAGGAAGAAGGGGAGGAGGAGGAGGAGGAGGAGGAGGAGGAGGAGGAGGAATAGGAAAAGGAGGAGGAGGAGGAGGAGGAGGAGGAGGAGGAGGGATGACGACGAGGACGAGGAAGAGCAGGAGGAGGAGCAGGAGTAGGAGGTGGACTAAAACCAGGCCCGGACACCCTCCTGGATTTCCGCCTCTTTTGGCCGACGACATTTTAGATTCCGTCAGGAGCCTCCTGGGCCTCCCTCCCACTGCTCAAACAGTCTTGGGGGCTGCAAGAAAGCGACCAGAGTGGCCTGACACGGCCGAATACGCCCGAATCAGACGGTTCAAGTGACCCGAAAACGTTCAAAACGGCTCACAGATGCGTCCCGAGAGGGCCCCAGGAAGCCCAAATTGATTCGTCTCATGAGCAATCACATTTGGCGATGGACCCATCCTTGTGCAGCCATGTGTACCGCAGAGCGCGGGTCTCTCTTTTCATACACTGCGCGCCGCGGGGCATTGCGGAAAGATGGTTGCTGCGGAGCACGCGTGCATGGGTGCGCTGAGCTCTATGTGGGGCACGATAACTCAGACGAATAACTCAGACGCCCCCGCGCCAACACGCCCACTGAGACCGCAGGTGGACCTTGTTCAGGCATGACTCGTGCGAGGCATGTTCCAAATTCGGCGGGGGGACGCCATGCGAATCTGCCCATTTTGTGCCATAGGTGGGGTTCCTTCTGAGGCATGGCTCGCGTGACGGTTATGCCAACAAGGGCGGGGGGGGCGTTGTGCGAGCCTTGTCTGGGACCGTCCGTGGAACTTTCTGTGGGCCACGATCCGTGTGAGAGGTGTGCTATTCTGCGAACCTTGTCTCTGGGGACGCGGGGGGATGCTAAACCAGCCTGTCTTTGGGGCCGCAGGTGATGCTCCCTGCGGGGCAAGATCTGTGCGACAATATATGTCATCCGATGTTGAACGTTTTAGTCTGCAACTAGAGCATGCTAGGACCTAAGAGCACGCGAAAGCGGGCGTGGTTCCAGTACGTAGAGGTATGTATGTATATATACATAGAGAGACGAGAAGAAACAAAAGAGAGAGATATAGGAGTAGGCCGGGGGAGGGCCCCTCCAAGAGGGTTCAGAAGGGGCCCCGGACCCCCCCCAGAGGCTCCCAAGTTGGCCCAAGAGGCACCCAAAGCGCCCCAGGTTGTCTGGAAAGCGGCTGAAGAGCGCACTGAGATGGCTTCCAGACGGACTGTTCCTAGACGGCCACGAAGGCATTCAAGACGGTCCAAGAGGCCGCCGAGAAGGCCCTCCAAGGGCAAACATAAATTATGGAAAAACATATGTTTCCTGGATATTTGCTTTTCAGTCCTACCAGCGGCCGCGACGGCCCCAGATGCTCCCAAAATGAGCCCCAGACGGCCCAAGAGGCTCCCAAATGAGCCCCAGACAGCCTCAAGAGAGCGTCGAGCAGCACAATAGAGCTCGAGAACAGCTCGAAAGAGTCCCCAGGGGGCCCGAGAGAGCCACCAGAGGATCCCTATATGATCGGAGAGGGCCCCCCGAGGGCCCCAAGACGGGCTCAGGTCCCAATGACGGGCGAAGAGGGACCCGGAACGGACGAACTGGGCTCCCAGAGGGTCCAAAAAAGGCCTACCAGGACTCCCTGAAGACGGTCCAGGAGGCCGCTCTTCCCAAATCGGCGCCACACGGTCCACGAGGCCCCCAAGAGGGCTCCAAGACAGCTTCAAGAGAGCGTCGAGCAGCACAAGAGAGCTCCAAAACAGCCTGAGAGAGTCCCCAGGGGGCCCGAGGGAGCCACCAGAGGATCCCTACATGGTCGGAGAGGGCTCCATGAGGGCCCCAAGACGGGCTCAGGTCCCGATGACGGGCGAAGAGGGACCCGGAACGGACGAACTGGGCTCCCAGAGGGTCCAAAAAAGGCCTACCAGGACTCCCTGAAGACGGCCCAGGAGGCCGCTGAGAAGGCTCCCGGGTTCAAAAAACGAGCATTCCCAAAGGAGAAACTCACATTTCTATGATTTTCGTTGCTTATTTTCCGTCGGCGGCCACGTCGGCCCCAAAGGCTCCCCAAATCGGCGTCACACGGTCCACGAGGCCCCCAAGAGGGCTCCAAGACAGCTTCAAGAGAGCGTCGAGCAGCATAAGAGAGCTCTAAAACAGCCTGAGAGAGTCCCCAGGGGGCCCGAGGGAGCCACGGGAGGATCCTTACATGGTCGGAGAGGGTGAGTATAAGATGATGGGAAGAGGGAGGGCGGGAAGAGGAGGAGGAAAAGGGGACTGCAGTGGACCGGGGATGATGACGGCGATGACGCTGATGATGATGACGATGACTATGCCGACGACGACGCCGACGACAACCATCAAGATGTTGATGATGCGGATGATGATACCGAAAAGTACGATGACGATGGTGATGGTGATCACGATGTTGATGATAATGGTGATTATGGTGACTGTTATGCTGGAGATGGTGAACGTGACCATGACCATGACGATGACGATGAAGATGACGGGGATGAGGATGACAATGATGACGATGATCATGACCCTAGCTAGAACTTGAGCGCGCCCGAAGCGCGCGATGGTTCTAGTATGTGTATCAATATGTATATACTTGTGTGTCAATGTTTTTTACAGTCGGGACAATCGGTTTATAATTGTGCGTGCACATGGAGTTCGTATACATATACACATGCATGCATTCACGCATGCGTACATGCATGCACACATACATACATACATACATACATGCATGCATGCATCCGTACATATCTATATTCCTACCTACCTACCTACCTACCTACCTACCTACCTACCTACCTACCTACCTACCTACCTACACACATACATACATACATACATACATACATACATACATACATACATACATACACACATACATACATGCATGCATACATACATACATACATACATACATACATACACACATACATGCATACATACATACATACATATATATATATATACACATACATACATACATACATACACATACATACATACATACATACATACATACATACACATACATACATACATACATACACACACATACATACATACATACATACATACATACATACATACATACATACATACATAACTACATACATACATACATACACACATACATACACACATACATACACACATACATACATACATACATACATACATGCATGCATTCATACATGCATACATACATATATGTATGTATACATGGCTATATATATGTATATATGGGGCGTGTCGCGGGCATTGGCCATCTTGAAGCCGTGGAGAGGCCTAGAAAGGCGCCGGCAAAGCTAGCTTACGAGACAGCTCGACCACCGACATAGCACGCCTGACGTGCCGAGGGCACGATGGTGGATGTTGACCTCTCGGAGGCATCTGGAGCCCATCTTGGGGCCATCTTGACCCGAAAAGTACAAAAAGCCGAGCATGTAAGCGTTGCCTCGATGTGGTCGAATGCTTTCTCTCCGGCGCGCTCCGTGGTGTACTTGAACCTTTGTGGAGGTCTCCGTGGCCTGTTTCGAGCAATCTTGCATAGTGCGGGAGGTGATTTTGGCTACGTTGGGGCTCATGGGGGGCCTGCCCCGGCGTTCAATTTTCAGAGTCTCAGGACCTGGAAGGGGCGTCGAGAAGCTCGCAGGTTGACCCCCCTGAAAAACTGGATTTGATAACGTCTCGGCGGGAAAAGAGGGGGAAGAGGGCAGCGAAACACCCCACACTTCGTCTCGCGCCAGGCAAGCGTGGGCTTATATGAAACATTGTGGAATGCGAACGTCGAGAGCCTCATTGACATGTATGGTGTTTACATTTTAATGGGTTACCTGTGCCGATGCCTGGAAGATGAGCGGCACCGACTCGCGTTTGCCGCTGCTTAGCACAGTGGGTAACGATGGTAACAGAGGCGAAGACGATGAAGAGCACGCCAGATGCGACCATAATTTGAGCAGCACGCCAGATGCGATCATGTTCGTGATTTCTTCTTTTTGTGATGGCGAAGGTGGCGACGATGACGTTTCCAGTGCCAGCGCAGCATTGAGATGCACGATGGCAAGCTCTGACGCACCATCCTGGGGCCCATTAGGGAAGCTTCGCTCCGAATGTTGTGGTGTGCCGCGAGTCTCGCAGCTCTTGCGACCGCTTGGCTTGGCCGAAGGCTCACAGACCAGAAGGGGCTCGACCTGATCTGCGAGGCGCAGCGCTGGACCCGCGCCGGGCTACCGCCAGGGCGATTCAATCGGAGGCGACGATAGGGGTGAATAGCACAGGGGGGACCAATACATGTATCCAGGGGCGCCGATGATCCATATCTTCGGTGAGGCTCCTTGGCGAATACGTGTACTGCCCACCCCTGCGCTATTCGCCCTTATCGTCGCCGCCGATTCAAGGGTGCTCTTGTTGCCCGAGCGGCGGCGTCGAGAAGCCGAGCGGAGAGAGACATCCAAAGTTTCAAGCGGCCACGACCTCCAGTAGGAGGTGGGGTGCGCGCCCAGCCCCACTCAAGTTGCGGTTGCCAGTGAGGGCGACATCCACTGCTGCTGCTGCTGCAGCTGCAGCTGCTGCTGCTGCTGCTGCTGCTGCTGCTGCTGCTGCTCCTGCTCCTGCAACTTCTGGTGGTGCTGCGCACGCCTTGCTCCTCATGCCTCACACTTCTTGCTTTTCCCTGCCAGCTATCCCGTCCTCTCTCCCTCGCTCTCCACCTCCTCCACCTCCAGTTGCCAATTTTTGCGCCCACGTCCTCGCGCCTTGCGCCAAAGCGTCGAGGGCCTCTGGCCATGCCATGTGACACCTCGGCCATCTCGCGAGACCCCTAAACTCGCCAGGTCCACTGCGCAGTCTGGGTGCCGCTTTCGTTTGTAATTGAACTCGCATCTCTGACTTCTTCCTCACCCTGCAGTGCTTACGTTTGGGCCTTTTCCTGCGCTCTGAGAGGCCAGCCCCCTCTGGGACGGCTCCCGCGCGGGGTGCGGGGCAGACTGGTCACTGGACGACGTCGCCCCAGCGTTGACCGCGCCTCCCGTGGGCGACGGTGCTCCCCGCCGCGCTCCGGGCCAGGTGCTCAGCCGAGATTGCTGTCCCCGCCTGAAAGGTGGACGCATCTTGGGCCGAGAATGGAGCTTCCGTTCCCGCGTTGCCCACGTGTCCATCTCGGCGTGCTATTCCCGCTGCAGCACCAGGCCACCAGGCTTCCCAGCAGAATCAGACAGATGCCTGGGGTGGGAGCGATGTCATTCCCCAAGCGGCGCCTGCTCTTGCTTCGAGGCTCCCAAGCCTTGTACGTCCCGGACGCCTTCTATGTTGGAGGGGTTCACACTGGTGTCCCCAAGGTACCTCTATTCCACAGGAGGTCCCAGAGGTGCCCGCGCTTAGTGTTGTGTCCCCCAAACGTGGTTCGCTCCGTTGCATTGCACTGCCAGCCTGGAGTGGCGTTCCAGCCTCAGCGCTATTCACAGTCTCAGCTCATGTTGAACTGAACCTGTGCCTGCACTGTTTGTTGGTTCTTACTTCGGCGTTCTAGGGATGTACAGGAATAGTACTCGCGACACCAGCAACTCGAGGTATGCTAGTCGGCATGCTAACATTTGGAAGTTAAGATAATGGTAGAGGGATCGTTGCGCGACGGGACGGGAGAGTAAGTGTGCGACCAAGCATGTTAACGAAAGCGAGCGCAAACAAGTGAGTTCATGCCAGGGCGCACGCGTCAGAAAGCAAACGCAATCTACCAACACGTTGGTCGAGGCCTCTAATCTGGAATTCTGGTCAGCACCGCAGTGAGCGGCTCGGATTCATCTTTACCGAAGACGCTTCCAGCGAATTTGCGCGGCGACCTGATGCCCCGGGCAAGAGTCATTTCGATCTCGCCGCAGGTCGATTCGGATGTTGTGCGCTGCGACCTACTGTCCTACTGCCACTGGAAAGTGTCTGTTCGAGCTCGCCACATTAGAGACGCAAGAAAACGGGTTCGTCTTCGTCGACATTATCGCGTAAGCTGCCCGCGCAAGATCCTGCGTAAGCGCCCTCGTCTCCAAGGTAGCGTGCCGCGCGGGCGGCCCGCGTAAGCCACCTCGTAAGCCACCGCGTAAGGTCGCTATGCCATCTCGCGTAAGACCCGTTTTTCATTTGCCCTCACATGTTTTTGTTTCGGATGTTGTGCGCGGTGTTTTATTGCCACCCGGATGTGTATTTTCACGCTCGCCCCATGTCTCTTCGGTTTTTGCGCTGGTCGCATGCGTGTTGACGTTAACTCGGCCGGCGGGATCATACCAGCCGTTCGTGGCTTGACACAGGCGGAGTTCCCAAGTCGGCGTGCTGTCCCCGGACGGGCCCCCGCGGCCTTCCTTGTTTCCCTCGTCCCTTCCCCTCCCCTCCTGCTTCCTGCTGTTCATGTCTCGCTTGCTCGCACGGGCTCGGCGGCTGCCCCGCTTCATCACGAGTGTTCTGTCTTGCTCAGGTCATCCCGGCCGCCTTGTTACGTAGCTCCTCGCAGCTGCGGGTGGGAGTGGGGGGAGGCTCTGAAGAAGCTTGCCGCAGGCGCCTAATCTCCACAAGCCGCACAATGAGCCCGCCGGAGGCGCCGAGTTCTTCGTTCAAGCAATGTGGGTGGGTCGCGGGCCGGGTCGCGGGTGGCTCGCGGGTGGCTCGCGGGCCGGTCGCGGGGTGTGTCGCGGGTGAGTCGAGGGTGGGTCGCGGGCGGGTCGCTGGCGGGGTCGCGCATGGGTCGCGCTGGTGGGTGGGTTGCGGGTGGGTCGCGGGATGAGTCGCGGGTGACTCGCCGGTGACTCGCGGGTGGGTCGCGGGTGGGTCGCGGGCCGAGCAAGCAGAGTCCGCGCAGCGGAGTCCCACTTCAGCCACACAACCAGGGACAGTGAATGACCGTTCGCCCCCCTCACTCTGATAATACGCTAAGCAGTGCCATGGGGGTTTCATGTAGCTTTTCCCAGTGTCTTTCTATTCGCTACGTTACTAGGTGGCTTCTTATTGGAGGGTGAAAGAGGGGGTCTGCAACAGGGGGTCTTCAATGGGGGCTGAATGGCCCATGTATGCTCAATGTATCGTTCATGTATGTGATCGGGTACGATTGGCATCCAATGCTGGCGGTCATTGATGGCCAGTCATTCGTGCCCGCGCGTTGCCCGCGCGGTCACACGCGCCGTCCATCCATTATCGTTCATGCGTGCGGGCGTTCTTGCATATTGCGTGTGGGTCGGCGAAGTGGAGTGCAAGTGTGTCTTGATTGTGCGGGTGATGATCGCGCTTGTTCCCAAACGATGACTTCTCGACCCCCTGGACAGATTTGGAATGGGCCCCGCGATTTTCCCAAAATGTGAATTCACAGTTTCCTTTTTCCCAAAATATGAATTCACATTTTCCTTTCTCCCAAAATGTGAATTCACATTCTGGCCCCTTCATAAAGAATCCTACACCAAATTCCAAAAAGTGAATTCACATTTTCCTTTTTCCCAAAATGTGAATTCACATTTTCCTTTTTCCCAAAATGTGAATTCACATGTTGCTTTTCCCCACACTGTGAATTCACATTTTGCCCTGGCCTTCAAGATCCCAAAAACTGAGGCGCAGTGTTCCGCATGTCAGATTGGCTGGGCAGATTTTGACACTTACCTGACCGCTCTCGTGTGTTCCAGCCTTTTCTTGTTGCGCCCTTAGCGCACGTTGCCTTCGTCGCCTTTCCCGAGTTCCCCGCCACCTTGCTTCCTTTCCCCTCAATTCTCGCGCGCGGGTGCAGGGGGGGGGGCTTCAATTAGTTCCCCCGCCGAACACAGCAATCGAGGATGTATCGCCCATTCATGGCCTTAAAAAACATCATTGCCGGGACCCTGCGCCCGACCCCCACTTTCACCCTCCAAGATTCTTAGCGGCGCCTGGGAGGCTCCTTAATGGCTACTGGTGTTCCTTAATGGCTCCTTAGTGACTCCGTCGCGGCCCCGTAATCGCTCTTTAGTGGCTCCTTAGTTGCTCCTTAGTGGCTCCGTAGTACACAATGTCCCCAGGAAATGCCACGTAAAGGGGTTGCCGAACAACCGCAAAAATACCTCCATTGAATTACCGCCGCCCACTGCCTGCTGGAGGCACCTTTCAGGTGGAATGCCGGACGTCAGTGCGGCAATGAAGGTGGACTGCGTGTTACCCGAGCGGTCCGTGGACCCTCTCAGGCAGGGAAGGGTTTCCGCTTCCGATTTTCTGGGAGAATTGGGTTTCGTAGCCACTGTGGGTCGGACCTGCACTTTTTTGGGGCTGCCGTTCTCAGGCTCCCCCGGGCCCTCCCCGGGCCCCAGGACCCTCGAAAAAGCGGCTCTGGATGAGGAGCTGGCCCCGGGGGGAAGCCCCAGGGTCCAGAGTCCGTTTACCTCAGGGCCCGTTGTCTCGCCTCCACGACAGCCTTTTGCCCCTGCTGCTGCCGCTTCTGCTTCTCCCCGCTTTTGGTCCTCTTGGGGCTGCTCCTCAGAGGAGGGAGAGGTACCCATACCGATACCGCTATCGTTCCCTCTCTTTCGCCTTTTTTGGCCCTATGGGAGGCCCTCGTCGCCACCGCCAAATCGCCTCGGAATCCTGGTCAGAACGTAGCCCAGAAGAGGTCTGGAGAGTATCGGTATCGGTATCGGTACCTTCTGTTTTCCCACGCTCCGTCTCCTTCCGTCTTTCTACCCAGCTGACTCTGCCGGAGCCGGCGCGTTGTTCTTTCTCGTTCGAGCTTCGAGTTTGCCCCCTCAGTCGGCGAGGCCTTGGAGTGGATGATGCAGGACACCGGCAACGGCGTGACTGGTAGAATTCAGGCACCGATGGGTTCCTGCTGCCCCCTGCGTTTCTCGTCAAGGTTCAAAGACCGAAGAGTGCCAAGTGCAATGCAGCAGGTGCGAAGCGCGCCACGACACACACACACACACACGCAAGCACATGCCCACCAAAACCCCACCGCGGCCTCGTAGGGATCTCGCACAATCACGGCAGCACTTCCATTTGCAATGGTTGGCAAAGGGCCGTGTGGCTTCTTCTTGGCCCCTCGTTGGAGCACGCACTGTGCGCACCGTCTGGGGGCCCTCTCTGCCTCTTCCTTCCGGCGGCCTCTTGGGGTGCCCAGGTGGCCCCGGGGGGGGGGTCCAGAAGGGGTTTTGGCCTCCCCAGGAAAAAAAATAAAGAACACAAGATCAAGAACACAGCAAGGATTCGTCGTCCGAGCCCGTCTTGTGGTTTTGCTCTTGTGCTTCTTGTCGGGGGCCTCTTCTGGCCTGGGGGTCGGCGGAAGCTCTCTTGGGAGTTTTTGGTGGCCATGAGCGCAGCCAAAGTGCGTTCGTCGGCCGCGAGCCTTGACGCGATGGCGCCCAGGCCTCCCTGCCTGCGAGTGAGCGGCCATCGAACGGCAGGTTTCGTAAAAGTCTCTCAGGGTCCCTTCTTCTATAGAGCCGTGTTCGGGAGCAGAAGACGGTGGGATGGAGAAGAACACCCAAGGAAGAGGGTTGGCATGGATGAGCCACAAGGCCGCGCAATCAACTTGGTCTTCATCGAAGATCAGGGGGGCATCAGAGGGGCAAGGAAGAGGTAGACAATGAGGGAATGCAACCGCAGAGCTCATGAGCTAGCGACAGCAAACAAGCAACAGTAAGGTAAGCCGAGGATGACCTTTCACACGCACCTCTCCGAGGGAGTAGGGATCACAGCCGAATGTGTTCGCGTCGCCGATTCAGGTTTGCCGTTTCGCGTGGGAGATCACATTTTCTTGCAACAACGGATGCACACCACGTAGGACGCGACGTCGCGGCCCAACAAACTAATGTTTATAGTTTGAATGTTTGAGGTCGAGATGTGCAATCTCCACAAGGTTGCCCAAACGTTTGCTGACTGTTGTGTTGCTTCGTGTGTGCTTTAGCAGTTCTGATTTCTGTATGATGCTTTGAACGCGCGTGTATCATATAACGGGGACTGCGAAGGAGCGGCACATTGTTTACTTCCCCCCCTTGGTATCCCACCTTAGTCCCGTGGGCCCGTGGGCCCTTCTCGTGGCTCCAGGGGGCCCTTGAGACTCCCATAGGCCATAGGTTTCCATGAAGGCCTACGCGAACGGCGAGAGGCCGCCAGGACGGCCCAACAGCCCTCCAAGACGCCCACGATGGCTTCTGGACGGCCAGCGTCTCTCCCAAGATTCGCGATGAGGGCTCCAAGACGAAGTCCCAGAGGGCCCCACGTGGTCAAAGTCACCGGTTGCCCTTAGGGGGTGGGGGCGTGGAGGATCGGCGCCACCCCAACACACTAGGAGGCGTTTTTTGAAGGGTCGGGCGATAGATGACCTGCGTCATTTCGGGGCTCAAGAGACGGTGGTCAATGCAACAGGGGGTCAGCCAGAGCGCCGGATCTTGCAGGATCCTGCAGGGCCAGGGTCGCACTGGCTCGGGTTTGGGTGCGGGATCCTGCAAGATTTTGCAGGATCCTTCGCATTGACCCGGGTTTGGGTGCTGGATCTTGCAGGACATGGCAGGATTCTGCAAGGCCTGATTGACCCGGGTCTAGATTGACCCGGGTCAGAAGATCCCCGATCATTGGGCTCGCCCCCCTCGCCCCCGGATACCTCACCTTGTCGGTTTGGCAGGTCCAGACATCCTCTTCGACATTCCCAGACGGCGCCAGCAGGATCGACGCAGCACGAATCGCAGCATCGTCGCGGCATCGTTCGCAGTTGTATGGGGCCGCAGCACTGGTGCGCGCGGGCATATGCGCAGTTGCCTACAGCGCGGTCAGGTTATCGGCCGGCTCCTCCCCACTGGATAATCCGGCTTATCGCCGATCCCCAAGCTTGTCTCTAACAGTACGTGCACGTCGCCCCCCCCAGGGGCGACGCGTTTGCCGAGAACTCTTCTAGTATAAGCTCTGTGGCGGGCGGCTTCTGGTCATAGGTTCGGGAAGCGATATACTACAAGATGATTGTAATGTATGTTCGGGTCGGACGCACGCCTCCAAGGAGGACACATGGTACTAGTATGTCCTTGTGCGTCCCAGAGGAGGAGGGGGGGGCATGGGGAAGGAGGTGGATAGGGAGGAGGAGGAGGAGGAGGAGGAGGACGAGGAGGAGGAGGACGGGGAGGGAGGGCGAGGAAATGGGGGAGGTGGGTGATGAGGAGCGCTGGCAGCACGGACCAGGAGATCGTCTCCGCCGCCAAGCTTGCCATTCCACAGCCTCCCCCGCTCCCCCGCCTCTGCCCTCGAGCCGCCCCCGTCCAGTTTCCTCCCGCCCATTTTCCTCCCGACCATTTACCCCCTGTCCACCTCCCGTCGACATTCCTGCCACTGTTTTCCCATTCGCCCTGTCCGCCCGAAGGGTGGAGAACAATAGGTCCCCCACAATATTACACCCTCCCCTCTGCCGCCTCCACCTCCACCAACAGAACGAGAGGATCCAGATAACATTTGCGCGCTATTGCTAGTGGATGTTTGAAACAGTTTTTCTGCGAGTGCCTCCTCGGCTTGGGCGGGGGGCTTACGCTGTGTCGGAAACCCACGTCATCTCTTCCCCCCTTGTTCGCTTTCTCCACCCTTTCTCCCCGCTTCCTCCACCCCCAGATTTTCCTGATGGGTAACGGGGACGACAACTACGTGCGACTCATCCACAGTGCCGCGGACAGGATCCCATCCCAGCCAGGGTGGGGAGCAGCCACAGTGCTCGACGGCGCTTGCCTGGACGAGACGCCCCGCGGATCCCCCGACGTCTCGAGGGCCTCCAAAGGAGGGGAGAGGGACGCGGTCTTCCTGGGCCATCTCAGGGGCCCCTGGGGCCATCTTGGAGCCCTCTTGGGGCTCTAGTGGGCTGCCTTGGGGCCCTCTTGGGGCCCTTCTGGGCCGTCTTGGGAAGATCTTGGGGGCTCCTGGGGCCATAGTGGACGCTGTCAGGACGAAACAGGCGCGTATGTCGAACATGTTCATGATTTCTGGTGGAAGCGGGGAGCGATGTTTTGCCTCTTGGGGCCCTCTCGGCGGCCCTCTGGGAGCACTTCTTCTTGGGCCGTCTTGGGAGCCTCGCAGGCCGTCTTAAAGCAATCCTGGACCGTCCCAGGGATACCCCTGGCCGTCCGCTCTCTTGGACTGTCTCGGCGCTCCATGGGTCGCCTGGGGGCTCCCTGGAAGCTCCGAAGAGCTACCAGGAAAGTCGTATCCCCCCTTCCCCACCTCCCCACGGCCTCCCTCCCTCCCTTCTACTGCCAGGGAGGAGGAGGAGGAGGAGGAGGATGAGGAGGAGGAGGAGGAGGAGGAGGAGGAGGAGGAGGAGGAGGACGCGGACGAGGAGGAGGAGGAGGAGGAGGAGGAGGAGGAGGAGGAGGAGAGGAGGAGGAGGGAGGAAGGAGGAGGGAGGAGGGAGGAGGGAGGAGGGAGGAGGGAGGGAGGAGGGAGGAGGGAGGAGCGACTGGGGAGGGGGAAAGGGGGAGGGGGACAGCCAGTCATCGCACCACGCCGTCTCCCCCCCCTCGGCAGGCGGGGATCGGCGGCCTACGTGGCCGCAACACGTTTTTTTGTGTCGGACGCTAGAGGCGCTCTCAAGATGAACCCGCGCCGTTGCCGATCCGCACTGCGGGATGTGCATCCAGCTCGGGATGTATGGGACACTGGTTTTCTATGGGTGGGTGGTGCTGATGAGGGTGCTGATGATGTTGACGATGATGACGACGACGACGACGACGATGATGATGATGATGATGATGCTGATGATGATGATGATGATGATGATGATGATGCTGATACTGATGATGATGATGATGATGATGATGATGATGATGATGATGATGATGATGCTGATGCTGATGCTGATGATGATGATGATGATGATGATGATGATGCTGATGATGATGATGATGATGATGCTGATGCCGAGGCTGATTCTGCTGATGATGATGACGAGGAGGAGGAGGAGGAGGAGGAGGAGGAGGACGGACACTGGTGTTTTATGGGTGGGATAGTAGTTTATGTCTTGCGCCAAGGTCATATCAACACGTTGCATCAGGGGAGCGGTATCCAGGCCAGACCACGCGACACGAGTCTCCTGCTACGGTTCGAGGGGGGCAGGGGAGGTTCAATGCATCATGAGCCCCCGTCCCCGTCAGGGCTGCCGTCGCAGTGAGCTCGTGTCTGTGGGCAACATGTGATTCCGGGCGCACTCACACTGTTCCAAGGAACTGAAGGCACGGCGACGCGCGTCCTGCCACACTCAAGAGGACAGCAAGCCGACGCCAGTCAGCAGGCATCCGCAATACAGATTTGCCGCGTCTCGGTTTGACCAGTTATCTTGAGCCACATGCGGGCCCACAATCACTACGAAGAGGTGGAGCAGAAGGAGTAGGAACAGGAAGTGCAGCGGCTTCCTCATGCGGAGTGTGGGGGGGTGAGTAGGGCTAGTGCGGGGCGAAGTGGGCGCGAGTCTGGATGAACGGCTGTTGGCGGAGCAGGGCAAGGGAAGTTCGGAGGAATGCAAACCGGGAAACACAGACACGGAGTGGGGGAGTACATTGACGACCACGGCCACGAACAGACCGTTGTTGATGATGAGCCGACCGAGGTGCTTTGGACTGGCTGGACCTCGTAAGTAGTTTCCACGGGGCTACGCCCGACACGCGCACGCTGCTTGGGCTGGCGGCGGGGCCCAATCGGCGAGCTGTCGTGTGATTCCATTGGAGCCAAAGAGAAAGAGGGAGAGAGAGAGAGAGAGAGAGAGAGAGAGACGGGGAGGAAAAGGAGGGAACAGAGAGGTAGAGAGAGGAGGAGGAGGAGGAGGAGGAGGAGGAGGAGGAGGAGGAGGAGGAGGAGGAGGAGGAGGAGGAGTAGGAGGAAGAGCAGGTGTGGGAGGGAGGAGGGAGGGGAGAGGAGGGTTCCGCTGACATTTGAAGGATGGTGCTTGTTTCATTTTGGTACACCAGAGGGGCAAGAGGTAAAGATAATGATGAGTTCCAAGACTTCCAGGATATCCGGTGTTTCCTAATGTTCCACACGGGCCGCAGAAACGAGGGCCGCTAGATGCTCTGGAAATCCTGGAACGCATCTTGAGCCAATTTTATGATAGCGTCATTAATGTTCGTCCCGATTCGGGGGCGCAGGTGGGCGGGTTCGTCCCGTGTCGACGTGGCAGCCGCCACGCCGCGGGCGCTCTGGGCAGAACGCCGCCAGTGATTCAGGGTCGGCCAGTACGGAACGATCCGGTGATCGCAAGACCGCCGACCGCTCAAGGGTTGAGCGATCCACGCGGCGTCAGAAACCAACGCCAGGGTCGTCACGCCACGAAGCTGTCGTGTTCACATGCAGGCGGATCCTCATCCCTGTGCCCTCCCCATAAACTACTCCCGCTGATCCTCCCGTTTTTCTTGGCGTGAGCCTTTTACAGTGGAGACCCATGCCAAGACACGCCCTGCTTACCTCCAGGGTGCCCTGGGCTTCTTGGATTTCGATGGTTCTGCTGTGGAAAGCGTGACGCACCCACAACAACAAAAATCAATGGACGTCCTGGGGTCTCAGGGTTGGGTTTCTTGTGGAAGGTTTCTCGTGGTCGAGCTCCTACTGTACGCGGAAATTCTTGTCTTCAGTACGTACATGTTCCGCCCTCCATGCTCCAGAGGCCTATACACCGTTCCGCCGACCCCCAGGAGAGGATATGTGCATTGCGTGTGGATTGTCAGCCGTTTCCTGTCGTGTTGCTTGCGCGTAGTTGTTGCTGTGTTTATCATACTCTTCCTCCGCGCCTGTTGCGGGGTTTTGGGCCTCTTGGAGGCCTCGGGGGGCATCCTTTTGGGAGGCTGTTCAAGACTGCTGAGTGTTTTTGAGCCTTCTGGGGGAGTCTTGGGGGCATGTTGGGTTCTTCGGAGAGGCATCTTGTGGGGAAGGGCTCCTGGGGGCCCTGCGAGTTCCCCTTCTTGGGCCTCTCTTTGGCCACCCCTGTTGAAGGTCTATTTGCTCTTAAATAGCTCCTCTGTAAGGTATACCCCTGCTGAAGGTCTATTTCCCTGAACACCTTCTCTGTATGGTAGCTTTCTATTTATTGGAAGAACTAGTAGGTGCGCTGCCGGATGCGGAATCGGTCGGGCGACGTTGCATCCCGTGGCCTCCCCGTATCTCCCGTGGCCCCCCCGTGGCTTTCTTTGGCCTCCCGTTGTTTCCCGTGGCCCTCGTTGGCCTTCCGTGGACCTCGGTGGCCTCCAGTGGTCCTCGTTGCCTCCCGTGGCCTCCAATTGGAATCCCTAACTATCCCGTTGTATCTGTATCCGATATCCCCATCCACAAATTCTTATCCCTATATCTCTGGCCATCATGTCCCGACTCGTGTCCCTATTCATACCCCGATCGCTCCATCGTGGCCCCCATCGTAACTGTGTAACGCTGTTCACGTGGGGTCCTCTGTCGAAAGGGTGTCACTGGCTGTCTTGACGGCCTCCTGGGTTTCCCCCAGCCCTCTTGGGCCGTCTCTGGGTCTCTGGGCCCCCTTGGTGTCTTCTGGGGCCACTCTGGGCGGGCCTCGCGGGTTTGAGGGTTCGCTTGGGGCCCTCTTGGGGTGCCTTGGGGGCCTCTTGGGCAGTCTTGAGACAATCGTTGGTCCTTGAGGCCTCTCTGGCGTATTGAAGCCCTTCATGGGGAGTCTTCAAAGGCATGACGAGCATCTCGGAAGGCACGTGTGTTGGATTCGTAGGCCCTGAGGGCCCCGGAGGTGCGGTGGCGAGCTCGTCCCTCCCTCCCCCTATCAAACGGAATTTGTGACCCTCCCCAATACCCGCTCGTACCCAGATCCCCCATACTGAGACTCGCCCACGCTCAGATCCAGTCGCACTCATGCGCATTCATGTTGAAGTACACTCATGCTCAGTGGGACTTCGCAAGAAAAGCGCCAGTTTTTTTGGGGGACACGTGTCTCTCTTCGGAGTTCCATGATAATCGCGATGTAGCAGGCTTGACACATGGGCTCAAGGTGGTAGACCTGGGGACTTGCACAGACCGGTTCGCGATCCCTTGATTCGGTAGAACGCTTGTGTTTCCCAACCATCCTGTGGTGTTTGGCCCTCATTTGAAGAGACAGCGCCCCGCGTCTCCTCCTCTCTCCTCCTCTCCTCTCCTCATCCGCCTCCTCCCCCTTCCTCCTCTTCCAACGTCATCGTTTGTATCAGTATCAGTACCAGTATCATCGTCATCATCATCATCATCATCATCATCATCATCATCATCATCATCATCAACATGCTCATCACAATCATCAGCATCGTCATCGTCATCGTCATCATCATCATCATCATCATCATCATCATCCATCATCATCAGCATCAGCGTCAGCATCAGCATCATCATCATCATCATCATCGTCGCCATCATCATCAGTATCCATCATCGTCGTCGTCGTCGTCGCCGTCACCATCACCATCGTCGTCATCATCTTGACCTTTATCGCCACCATTTCGGCACAACCCTCACACGTTTCGTGGCCTCATATGGGGTTCCGCCGAAGGCCCCAGTGGCGCAATTCGCATGCGTCAGCGCCATCCGTTTCGGCGAACCCTTTACACGTTTCGTGGCCCCATATGGAGCTCCACCGAATGTCCCAGTGGCAGCACCCGCATGCAGTTCCACTTCCATTTCGGCGCAGCGCTCACACGTTTCGTGG